AAATACCGTGAATAATTATATATTACAAATTATTCAGAATTTTGAATGCATTTTAAGAATACTTTTCTCATCAACTGGTCAAAATGCACAACACCGCTGTATGCTGCGTGAAGACGCTTGAGCACTCTGATGTAAACAAGCGCGGACGAGAAGCACACGGTGGAACACGTGAGAGACGCTCTGGATGAAAGCGCACTTTCACTCTCTGACAGCAGGTGGCGCTAAACTGCAATAATAATAATAATAATAATAATTCATTTAAATGCAGCCATTACCCCGGAAACCCTGTAAATAAAGCAGCTGCACTACTTTCTGTTTCTGAATCGTGTTTAAATGATTTAAACTGCCATTCAGATTTGTGTATTTGCTATGATGTTCATCACAGAGCCAAATACTTAAATATTTAGACTTAATAGGCTATTTATTTTACATTTTAAATTTAAATGTTCAGTTATTTTTGTGATAAGAAAAAAAGTTATTATACCTGTTATACTGTATTATGAAAGCACTTATTTTTAAAACTAAATTTCAATATCGTTATAATACCGTATACCGTGACAAAAGCATTAGCAATTAATCGCAACATGAAAATTTGATACCGGCATATCCCTATTTACCACACCTTGTTACAACACAGTAGAGCTATTGCAGACAGAAACAATACTGTACTACATCCATGTTTCCTGTCGGCTCAATTCTTGAGTGGACCTTGCTGTTCTGATGAGAATGAACGGTATACGAGTGGAGCGAACACGCATAGAGCGGGATAATACGCAGAGTGTCACTCCACGTGAAATTGAAACCTGAGTGGTGAACTAGTTTTCGGTGCATCTCTAATTATTGGTGACATCAGAAATGGATATTATATAATAGATGGTTTTTTGAACATTTTAGCAATTTAAAAATATAAAAAAATGATTTTTTACACTGCACCCCTGCTCTCGACAGACAGCACCCCGGTTGGGAAACACTGCTTTATATCATACAGATGTGTGTTGAGGATTTGGGGTATTTACAAAAGAATGAAACAGTTCTGACATGTTCTATGATATTGAAACTAACTCCCTCAAAACACATGTAGAAGCAGGTCTGAACTGAGAGATGTTGCTGTGTTTGGCTGAGCACTCATTGAGTAGCTCGCCAGTGTGTTAGATTTCTCCATTACATAAAATACATACGTTTGACCAAAGATTTGTTGGCAAAATAATGTATTGGTTAATTTAAGGTAGGATTGTAGCACAGTTCTTCAGTGGTGATGTTAACTTTCAGTCTTCAAAGAATCTTAAATCCTTCTAAAACGTGGTTTATAAATCTGTAAATTGGCTTGATGCCAGCAGAAGTGCACATTGACATTGCTAGACCGCTTTTCTCGTGTATATCACATTTTCTTATAATTTGAGCGAACAGTGCGACTTAAAGGCAACATTGACTGCAAAGATGTGGAAATAACCTCTATTTAAGCATGTCAAAGATGTTACATGTATCTGTGTGACACTTCTATTTTAAGCGCATAGGTGGCTTTGTGGGGGTTTCCCATTCCATGAGCCGCGTGACGTCATCAAGGATTCCGGATAAATAGGCTGCGAGGTGACAATGGCGATCTCTGTCTCTCTCTGTTGCTCCGCTTCCCATTGTTCTTGCAAGCGTCTCTCTCATCGCCTCTTTGAGGCTATATGTTTGTTTTTCTTTATGCTTAAGTTTAACTTGTAAATTTGTGTTTTGATATGTGATATACTTTCTTACTTATCAGTAGCGGGTAGCGTATTTATTTATTAGTTCATGTTTTGTTTATTTAGTAAGCACTGGTCGAGGGAAGCAGGGGTCAGGAAGACTCACCCGTTCTTATTTTTATTTCGGGAGTCAGGTAAGAACTTTATTCCGAGAACAGGTGTAGTCAGGAGTCTGTTTTCCTAGCTGTCCTACCCGTGAACTGATTATTCTTTCTTTATTATGTATTAGATTATGTTCATAAATATTCTTTGTGAATTGTTGCACATTATTTTCTGGATGTTTGAGTTGAACTCTGTAAATTTTATTAAATAGAGGCATCTTGAAATTCACATCAGGTGTTGTGATGCTTTTTAATATGTTCAGCCTGTGTCCTTTATTTCATTGTTTGAATTAACAAGCCTTAAAATGGTTATGGGCCGTAACATTTGGGGGCTCGTCCGGGATTGATCTTGATTCTGTGTGACTTCTGTGCGATCTTTTTGATCTGTTCACACTTGAATTTGTTCCTTTAACTTTGTTGAATCACAGTCAATTGATGTGAATTTTGGCTTGTGTAGTGCTTTTTTGGTTTTCTCTTTAACCTAAGACATTTATCAATCATGTTTGAATTAACATTTTATTGCGAATCCGACGCAAGCTGAATTGTTCCAAATCAACAGGGTTGATCTTATGAAAATTGCTGCACATTATAAGGTTAGTTTTCGTAATAAGCAGTCCAAACGCGAACTTCAGGTGTTGCTTGTTGATTTGTTGCATAAACAGGGCATCTTTGGTGATGAGGAAAAGCTGGTAGACTATCCTGAAGCAGGTGAGGGTAGTTCAGAAGATCTTGCTTTTCAAGTCAAGAAGTTGGAGTTGCAAGCTAAAGAGCACGATAGAGTTTTGTTTAAAGAAAGAGAAGAATGGGAGCATGAGAAAGAGAGATGAAGAGAGCGTGAGAAACATGAGCTTGAATTGAAGAAGCTTGAGATGGAACAAGCTTGCCGCCTCAAAGAAATCGAGTTGAGAGCTCGTGAAAGGGGTGTAACGGATGTTTCTGATTTCGACTTGAGTAGTAATATTCGTATCGTTCCTCCTTTTCGAGAACAAGAGGTAGACAAGTTTTTTGTTCTTTTTGAACGTGTGGCCTTCAATCTTAAGTGGCCGAAAACATTTTGGCCCATGTTGTTGCAGTGTGTTCTCGTGGGGAAAGCCCAGGAAGCTTATTCTTCTTTATCAGTGGAAGAGTCTCTTGATTATGAACAAGTAAAAACTGCCGTTCTTAGAATTTATGAATTGGTTCCTGAGGCTTATCACCAAAAATTTGGTAATCATCGAAAAACTGATGAGACCTACGTTGAATTTGTTCGTGAGAACGAGTCAATGTTTGATCGGTGGTGTGCTTTTATGAAGGTAAAAACTTATGAAGAGCTCCGTGAACTGATTCTTTTAGAAGAATTTAAAAACTGCTTACCAGAACGCGTTAAAACCTACCTAAATAAGCATAAAGTTCTCAAATGTTCCGCCGCTGCTGCTTTAGCTGATGAATATGTATAAGAATGTGTTTGGTACTGCGCAAATTTCTGGTAGCAACAGTCGACGGTATTCAAAGCGTAGCTTTGATCGTGCTCCGTGTGAGGATAAAGTGGCAGAGAACTCTGTCAAGTCCGTGTCCTCACCCATTTGTTTCTATTGTAAGAAACATGGACACATTATTGCGGAGTGCAAAGCACTCAAAAAGAAAAATAGTGTCCTTAAACCGGTAGGTTTATTGATGACGTCCTCGCCACAATTAGAAGGACTGGAGTTGTTAGCGTCTCAGGCTGACATGTGTGAAGAACAGGGGTATGTGCCGTTCATAATGGACGGATTTGTGTCTTTGGTTGGTAATGCAAATTCGCGAAAACCAGTCAGGGTACTTCGTGACACAGGAGCTGCTCAGAGTTTTATTCTAGAAGGAATATTACCGCTGTCTGATGAGAGCTCTATTGGTTCTAGTGTCTTAGTACAGGGGTTTGAGATGGGCTTTGTGAATGTGCCTTTGCACGAGATTGAAATTGAGTCCTCCCTTGTTACCTGCCGCAGTGTTGTTGGAGTGCGACCGTGTCTTCCCGTTCGAGATGCCACTTTTATTTTGGGGAATGACTTGGCGGGAGGAAAAGTTTTTGCTAGCCCTGAGGTAACTAATGTTCCTCTTCCCTGTGCTACTCCTGATGAATTAGCTCAGAAATACCCGGAGGTATTTCCTTTGTGCGCTGTTACTCGCGCTATGTCACAGAGACTGAAAGAT